GCCCTCTGGCTTCGGGTGGATTCAGGGTAGCCGAGGCGGCCTGGCCTCCTGCACCCCGGAGCGGGACTGCCTGGCAGTCCTCCTTGGATAGGGCTGGAAGACCAGGTGTGGGGACCCCGCCCGCCCTTCCACCACAAGGACCCTAGAACTCCGAATTCCAGCAGCCTAGGCCAGGTCTTCCTACCGGGCGGCGGGCAGGAAGGCGCCCCCTCGTGGTTGGAATTTTGGGGGTGGCAGACCGTGGGGCCTGGGGCTTTGGAGAAAGGGAAGGAAGCCTTCACTAACTCCCTGCCCACAGATATACACACTCATGCCACCAGCTGCTGTGGTCAGGAGGATTCGAGGGAAACGCTTGGAAAGAACCAAAGGGTTGGCTGGAGATGCAGGGAAACTGAGGCAGTCAGATGGAGAACTCGGGAGGTTCAAAGAAAACAAGGAATTCAGATGAGAGTCTTTGGAAGAGTGGGGGATGAAGAACTGCGGGTACAAATGTTTCTGCTGCTGCAGGATCTCATCCTATCCTTGGGGTCTTCCCTGGGACTTTCTGACCCCACCCTCCTTTGAGTTGGGGGCTTCTTCATCCTCCTAGGGAGAGGACACACAGAAAGGGGCCTCCCCCTCCTGCTCTGCCCCAGAGCCACCAAGTTGATCTCTTTCCTTTCCTCCCTCTCCCAGTTCGGCGCCATCTTCCCTGCCAGGGCCCCACCCCAGCGTTGAGCAACCTCTTCCCCCCTGCCCCAGAGCTGGAACTGAGCACTCTGGCCAGAAGGAAACCTTGGCCCCCTTCCTGCCCAGGGGCCCTCAGAGTCCCAGGTTCCCTGGGACCAGCCCACACCTCTAGGAAAAACATCCCCCCCAGGGAACAATTCTGCCACCTTTGACTCAGGTCTGGGGTTCAGCCAGGCCTCCTGGGGATGTGTGGAACAAGGCAACCCCCTACTCCCACCCTGGGAATGCCAGAGCAGCTCCGAAAGAGAACAGGGACTCCAGGAGATGTGAGTCGGTAGCAGTCACCTGATTCCCGCTAGACTGGCCAAGAGACAGGCCCAGAAAAGCAAAGGAATTGCAAAGGTCACATAGAAGTTAGTGGCAGAGCCAGGGCCAGAACCCAGGACTCCCATACTCTCTGTCCAGAGGACTTCCCCCGACCCTGGTGACAGTGGTGGATCACCTACCCTCTGAGGAGTGGTCAGAATGTTGTGGGGAAGCAAGAAGATAAGAACAAGAGTGAGGAGCATCTGGGTTCCAGAAAATTAGGGCTTTGTCAGAGGAGCCCGGCTCTCTTCCACTGCCCTTCCCCGTGCTGACCACAGTTGGGTAGAGATTGGGTCTAGAAACTTAGCGTGGTAGAAGGTGCAGGAGGGTCTCCAAGAGACCAAAAGATTCACATCCAGCCCCCTGGCCTGTTCTTGCCATGTGTTTGCTGAAGACCTGGTGCCCCTTCCCCTGCCCCTTCTCAGCCCTCAGTGCCCTGCTCACCCAGGGCAGGCCCAGGGCTCAGCAACCAGCCCGTTGTGTGGACCCAGACAGCCCAGTTCTGCTCAAGAGTAGAGGTCACAGCTAGCTCCTCCGCCCAAGGTCCATCCAGATCTGGGTGGGGCTTGGCCCAGGCCGGTACCTTTAGTGCCAGGGGACAAAGAAGAGCAAGTGAGAAACAGACAACCAGGAGAGACATACAGACAGGGCAGACCCTGAGGACCATGAGAAGACCACAGTGCGAGCCCAATGAGAGTCAAAGCAAGGACGGACCTAATTCTCCCTCCATCTCCCATTGCCAAGGGTTTAAGATTGGCTCCTCCATTGTCCCTGTCCCCAGGTTCCCCCAGCCCAGAACCCTGGGCTTGAACTCCCTTCAGGAGGACTTATTCTTGGCCATCACTCAAGCTGTGTGCACATGAGCCAGCCTGAGGTGTGGCAGTCAGGAAAACTGGCACTACTAGCTGAGGACCCAATCCCAGGGGGAGGACAGGGCCAGAACCATGGCAAGGATCAAAGGCAATGCCAACAGATGGTGGCTCTCTGGACCCTGGAGGGGGGTCCTGAGAGACCTGTGGGTATGCACTGGGCTGGCCAATTGCTCCAGGGGCTTCTCCTGAAACCTCCTCAAGCTGTGATTCCCAGGATGTCAAGAAGGGGGGTGGTTAGGTAGGCAGAGCTAAAAAACAAGTGTCTTAAAACCAAAAAGAGAGAGATACACACAGACTGTGTGGAGTGCCCCAAGGGAGTGTGGGATCAGACACACTGTAGCCCACGTCCTAAGGGGCCGTGTGAGCCCCAACAGTCACGCTAACTTTTGATGCCCATCTGGGGAGGGGCTAGTAGAGGCTGATCACAGGGTGGTGCCTGTGGGTTGGTTGACCTGCCTAGAAAGAACCAGAGCCGAGAAACTGGAAAGACGGACACAGGCAAGAGACCCTCCTGTGTGGTAGGGGTTACCCAGCCTGTTCCCAGTGCCACAGGCCCTTCCCCAGGTAGTCTTCGTATGCCCCTGGCCTAGCAGGATATATGTAGCAGCACTCAGTGCCCCACTGTGGGAGCTCCCCAGGTGGGGTTTCCAGTTTGGGTGAGGAATCAGCCTACCTCTTCTCGCCCCCATTCCAAACCTGGAAGACCAGGGAGAAAGAGGGCTGACAGGAAGGTGCAAATGAGGACTGAGTTTGGAGTTAGAGCTGGGGGTGACATGGGGGGTTTGGGGCTGGTAATGTTGAGTGGGGACTGGTGCTGGAGATTGGGTTTACATGGTGGGCAGGCTGGGTTTGGGGTTGGGTTGGAGGTGGAATCAGCTGTCCAGCACAGCTGGTGGAGGAGGGGGCTGGGGTCGGGGATGGCAGTGGTCCCGGGCTTAGGTTTCTGTCAGGGTTAGGCTAATGCTGGGAACTAGCTTAGAAGGTGGCAGTGGAATCTGATGTTGGAATCCTCCCTCTCTTCTAGCCCCTGTCACTTTCTTGCTGATGCCAGCTGAGCAGGGGGCAAGGGAAGGATGGGTGAGAGAGTGAGCTTTGTGTCCCATGTCCCTAGCCATCCCAGAAGCCCCTCTGCTGGGGCCCACTGCTGGCGGAGCAGCTCTCTCCTCTGTGGGTTCTCCCCAGTCACACCCTCAAGGCCTGCTCCACCCCCTCCCCTGGTCCCAGCCATCAGAGAGGGTGCCCACATCCCACTCCCTGACTCTCAATTCCTTGCTCCAGCATCTTTGTCCTAAGTGTGTACACTGACTGACAGTCTCGGCTGGAGGGACCCTTTGAGAAAGCTGGGGCTAGGGCTAGGCTCAGGGCGGGGGTAGGGGGAGTAGACAGGGAGGCTAAGCCGCAGAGGAATGCTGCTGCCGGCTAGGAGGTGCCTGGCATGACCACCCCCGCCCAGCCTGGGGAGGGAGGGCTCGGTCTTCTGCTGACTGGGGGAAGAGGGCACCCACTGGGGTGTGAGGGGTGGGGCAGCTGGAGAGAGAGGCCCTCCGGACTGACAGACAGGGCTGCTCCCACAAAGCCTCATGGACTCTTAGTACCAAGGTCTGGGATTCTAGAATCTGTGGACTTTCCCCTCGGCCCCCTCTGTAAGGTACCCTATCCTGCCCTCCTCACCCTGGAGTAGCCAAACCCTGAACACCCTCCACCCTCCAACCCTGGCCTGAGGCTGGAGTTGGTGGCAAGGGCGCTGGCTTCAGGGTTTCTTCTCTCCATGTGTTGGTTTCAGGGACTGTTCCAGGGTCTGAGGAGAGTCTAGCTTCCTCTACCCTCTGTTATTTTCTGGACAAGGATATATGATCCTCCCCAGGAGGCAGTGCCCCCCCACCCCGACCCATGGTAAAGAGGACCCACATCTGCCCCCTCAGTTCCACCACAGTGGAATTCACACAATCAGGACCCAGAGTTGAGAGGCCACCCCTAGATCCTCCTGTCCAACCACCCCGGCAAGCAGCATTAGAAAAGCACCTCTCGGGGCCGGGCACAGTGGCTCATGCCTATAATCCCAGCACTTTGGGAGGCCAAGGCGAGTGGATCACCTGAGGTCAGGAGTTCAAGACCAGCCTGACCAACATGGTGAAACCTTGTCTCTACTGAAAATACAAAAATTAGCCGGGCATGGTGGCCCGTGCCTGTAGTCCCAGCTACCCAGGAGGCGGAGGTTGCAGTGAGCTGAGACCGCGCCATGGCACTCCAGTCTGGGTGACAGAGTGAGACTCTGTATCTAAATAAACAAAAAATAAAAAATCGAAAAGCACCTCTTGGGCCGGGCACAATGGCCCATGCCTGTAATCCCAGCACTTTGGAAGGCCGAGGTGGGCGGATCACCTGAGGTCAGGAATTGGAGACCAGCCTGGTCAACATGGTGAAACCCTGTCTCTACTAAAAATGCAAAAATTAGCTGGGCGTGGTGGCGCATGCTTGTAATTCCAGCTACTTGGGAGGCTAACGCACGAGAATCACTTGAACCTGGGAGGCAGAGGTTGCAGTGAGCTGAGATCGCACCACTGAACTCCAGTGTGGGTGACAGAGTGAGATCCTCTCACAGAAAAAAAAAAAAGAAAGAAAGAAAAGCACCTCTTTCTCAAGGTGCTCAGCCCACTTCCCAGGCTCTGGTGCAAGGCATTTCACATCCATTATTCTGGCCAATCCCACACCCAAGTTAAGCCGATGTTATCATCCTTTTATAGGTGAAGAAACTCAGGCTCAGAGAAGTAATTTGCTCAAGGTCACACACACAGCTAGTAAGTAGCAGAGACTGAGCTCTCCCCCAGCCACGCTGCTTCTGTTACCCACCCTCAGTCCCAGGGAGCTCACCCCCTAATGAAGTAGCCAATTCCACTTGCAGACAGCTTTGATGATAAGAAAGTGTTTCCTTTCCTTGAACTGGCATCTGCCCCTTGAAACCTCTATTCCTACTTCTAACTCCTGCCAGGAGCAGCAGGCTGACCCCTCTCACCTTCCAGCCCGTGAAAGATTTTGGGGGCAGAGATCATAGTCCTCTGAGGCTGTATTCCTTGGGCCTCACATCTCTCAGTCCATAAATCATAGGGCACAGCCCCCACCCCAGGTCCTGTCCTCTGGGTGCCCCATCCCAGGGCCTCACATCTTCCAAGACGGACACTCAGAGGGAGGCCAACCTGGAGTGCTCTGGCACTCACGGGGGCCCCTCTGCCGTCCTCTCCGCCTCCCACCATACCCCAGGCTGCTGAACGAAAGTGACAAGCGCCCCTTCATCGAGGAGGCTGAGCGGCTCCGTATGCAGCACAAGAAGGACCACCCGGACTACAAGTACCAACCCAGGCGGCGGAAGAACGGGAAGGCCGCCCAAGGCGAGGCAGAGTGTCCCGGTGGGGAGGCGGAGCAAGGTGGGACCGCCGCCATCCAGGCCCACTACAAGAGTGCCCACTTGGACCACCGGCACCCAGGAGAGGGCTCCCCCATGTCAGATGGGAACCCCGAGCACCCCTCAGGTGAGTGCTGATGACAGGGCTGAGGGTGGGGCAAGGCCGGTCAGTGGAGAGAGGAGACGGCTGGATGGCAATGAGACCCTGGACTCTAGGGAGAGTGTGCCAGGCTGTGCAGTTGCCCTAGCAGAGCTTCAGGGGCCCAGAGGGAGCTCCATGGGGGTTCCAGTGCCAGGGGCAGTGGCTGGGCAAGATGGCTCTGGTCAGGGCTGATCCAAGGGGTCACTGCTGCTGGGCAAAGAGGGCCAGTTAAAGAGTCTGTAGAGGTTAGGCCTGGCGCGGTGGCTCAAGCCTGTAATCCCAGCACTTTGGGAGGCCGAGAC